AACATGCCCTATGATAAGAAACGGACGTTTTGAAAAATTCACACTTAGAGCCTTTTAAGTTTAAGACCATGAGAAGATAAAACGTTGAAAAACATGTTCAAAGCCTAACAATATGCTCCTCAAAAGTTTCAGAAAAGACCAAAATGTCATCAACAAAAAAAAAACAAGACGTTCACGCAAAAGAAGGTCACCCATGGCTACGTTCCATAACTCTTTGAAAAGTAGCACCTGAATTAACCAATCAAAGGCAAGCCTACTGAATTCATAAAATCCAAGGTTACCAACAGAAAAAAGCAGTATAGCTTTGAATCTTCCTCCATCTCAACTTGCCAGTAACCACTGCGTAAGTCAAGTTTAAGGAAAAATTTAGATCCCACTAAAAGGTCTACAGTGTCGTCAAAACGAGGAAGCATAAAGGCATCTTTTCTTGTTCTTGAGTTAAGCAATCTAAAATCAATACAGAACCTAAGTGTGAACCATCCTTTTTTCCGAACAAGAACAACATTAGAAGAGAAAGGAGAGTCACTAGGCCTGATGGCACCGCAATCAAGCATATCTCTAAGGTGCTGCCTCCACCTCTTTCATACATTCCAGGGGGAATTTTCCTGTAAGGCTGCTTGAAAGGTCTGTGTCATTATTTAAAACAATACTATGGGTGTGAGATCAGTACAACCAATATCAGTTGATCCCTTGGAAAAATACATGATTCCAATGCCTAAAACTTGGCGAACACACAGAAGTTGCTGAGGGGACAGATTCTCAGTATCAATATTCAAACCAAGAGAAGATAAATCTGGCTGTTGAAGAGGTAGGGTTCACACCATTTAGAAACAGAATGAGAAGAAGCAAGGTTGTCTAGCACTGTAACTTCATTAACCACACAAATGTTAGATTTCGGCCTTAATAGTCAATGTCCTCGCAGTCAGATTACAGATGCGTACAGGCACCTTTGCATAACCGCTTTCATTGGACACTGAAACTATTTGTGGCCGAACAATATATATAAAACATCTGCATCAGGGTTTTCAGTCACAAGTTTAGTATCACTAGAGACACCTCTAACAAGACCATTAACAGAAATAGACTCATACGGTTGCAACTGTGATAGGATGGTCATTGGTAGATTTGACTGTGTGAGGCTTACAAACTAAACTGTCAAATGCTGATTGCCAAACTTGCGACAAATTTGAATCAGTGGATGAAAGTTTACAGAGCCTGATAACATTGGTACCCAATATCACAGGACAAGATATGTTGTTATGTGTATCAGGGACAACTAATTACAGGCACAGGCAACTGAAGTTTAATTCCGGTATAGCAATCGGAACTTCAATGTACATTAAAAATATCTAAAGATTGCCCATTTGCAACTGAAATGTCTAAATTGATATTGAAATCTGTCAAATTCAACAGTGGCGGTCTATTTGACAATGACAAATAAAATGAGTTTGATACTGTTGAAAACCATTGAGCCAGTATCAACTAGAGCTATGGCTGAAATACCATTAAATAACAATATTGGCCTTATTGGAACATCCAATAATTCTATTAACAAGTGATTGCTTCTCAATAACCGCCTCTGATTGGCCAACAACAGAGGCGGACCCTAGTTTGGGTAAACCGCAGAAGATCCCTGTTGCGCCAGCAACATGCCCTGCTGATTTATATTACCCTTACTACGGCCACGCCAACTGCGATTGGTATTGTAAGATGTGTTACGGACTGGTGTGTTATTAGGTGCTGTTTGAGATGGTGTCTGATATCTGTATGTCTGTACTGGGGGTGGTGGTGTGTTCCATTGAGGCAAATGAGTAGGTTGTGTAGGCAATGAGAGATTATCAAGTTTCTGTAAAATGGCATTAAATCTCCTATCAACACCAGACTGTAAACCACGCATTTGTTCAGTGAAACGGTGCTCCATGTCCTTCATAGATTTTTCTACATAGGAAATAGAAGCCATTTCACTAGACACCTGCGAATTTACAGAAATTTTAGACCTGGGCTGGACAGACGGGATAGTATCCTTCTCAATCCTACGGATTTCCATTAAAAAATCATCATAGTCAGAAGCAGAGTCAAGCTTATGTCTACTGCTTGCTCTTAAAGAATCTGACCTTAAACCTGACCATAACTTTTCACATAATAATTCATTCTTAGCAGACTTCGGTACAGAACCACCCTCAAAAGCTCTCTGCAAAGTGCACTCTAAACGACACCCATAGGCTGCTACTGATTCATCAACGCCCTGAGATGCATTGAAGAATTCCTTCATAGTAACACCTTGCCTTGACGGTTCAGCATAATTCACAGACAACTTATGTAAAATATCGTCTATGGACACAGATTCACCTAACGAAACTACCAAACGTCTAGCTGTGCCCCTTAAAGAAGATCTCACAGCTTGACGAACTTGGGAGTCAAGTAAAGATGTATCTTTCTTAAGGCACTGTACCTCATGGTGCCACTCATAATAAGAAATTTCACCTTTAGGGGTAGGGTCATCTCCAGAAAAAGGTGGAATCTTAGGAGTACGGGATAAAATTGGGGAAGGTGCAGATGGGGGAACAGAAGGAGAAAAACTGAAGGAAGTTGGCTTTAAACCTCTACCATAACCATGAGAGGGTGTCTTGGCTGCTGCTGGTGTTCCATCCTTAACAGAGATATGGTACTTTGACGACAAAAAATTAATCATCTCTTCCTCAGAAAAAGAATATTTCTTCTCACCTTCTGAATCTTCCATCTTTCAAAAAAAATGCAAAAAAAAATGAGAGAGGAAAAAATAGACCCTGGGATTGAGTGGACAGACCCAATAAAGTCAATAAATAAAATAAACAGAAAATAAAAAAAATAAGTGTACAAAGAATAAGACACTGAAGCGGAAATATGGGGTAAAATAGACCAGGGAAATACACTTAACCTATGGCGAAAAACCAATAAGTTTATTTTAAATGACACTCAATAATCAAATTTATTGATGCATTCACAAACAATATGAAAAGCAAGTATAAATGCTTTTGTTTACCTGATAACTCTTACCAGAATTGTTTAATTTAATACACCTTAAAAAATAATAAAAGGTAACTATTTATTTTACCAAGTACTAACTGTACCAATATTAGTACCTTCAATTCACAAATTCCTGGTTTGAACCAGTACTGGTCAACAAAAATTGATACCAAATAATTCGGTTCAGTACTGAGTTGTCAGTACACCAAGTGTTACTAGGACATTACAAGTTCCTGGGGATAACCAGTACTAAAATATTTCAATATTCAAACAGAATAATAATCAAACATATATAATACACCAGTTATATTTGGGCAGATATCTCTCAAATAATTCCTGGTAAATACCAGTACTTATATATTAAATATTTCCTGGTTGTAACCAGTACTTACCTATCAATTCACACAAAAAAAATAGAATAATTATTACACTGTAGTTCCTGGATGTAACCAGTACTTGAATGACCAGTAAAATACTTTAAAAAAATGGGCAGTTAAATTAAAATGTCTGGGAAAAAAAAAGGAATTTATTTAGCCAAAACAAAAAAAATGTCAACAATTAATACCCTTAATCAATTACTAATTACCAATTACCATATGATTTGCCACTACTATGCCGTCCAACCAAATGACTTACCAATCAAACCAACGCCAAAAACAAAATAAACCGAATCAATCACACGACAGCACTCGCTTTCAAACAAAAAAATACTTTCACGCGAATTGGTTCTGGGTGTTAATTTGTTAGTTTGTAGAGAAGTAAAGATAGAAAGATTAGAAATAGAATGCAATATATATATTCAATACACAAAGTAAACAAACACAGTTATCAAGATCCTTAAATTTTTCTAAATATCTTTTTCAAAGTAAACAAATAATTGAAAGACCCTAAAGATTTCTTAAATATCTATTTAAATATATCTATACTATTAATTTTATTGTATCAACCCAGATAACTAAAAAAATAAATCAATGTATATTAATAAGACAAATAGTATTTACATGTATTTACATACACAAAAATAAAATATACACGAAGATATTTACAAACACATAACAAATAAACAGCAGCAGTATTTTCAAAAAGATTTATCAAAATATAAACGAAATGGAAGTGAGTTTCTTGTATATAGTATTAACTATCCGAAATTTATGGTTTATCCGAAATTACCTAAAGAAAAATATGAAAGATCGCGAAATTGTGTGACAAAATTACATTATCGGTGTTTACATAAAATAAATCAAATGACAAGTCCTATTTAATGAGAGAATCAAAAATTTACCTTAAAAGAAACTGAATTAAACCAAAAATCTACTTAATATATGTATAAATATAAAGAAATTTACCTTGTTATTAAATTTTCCGAAACAGGTCACACAAAATTTGGAATATGGGCCGAAAGTAGTACCTAAGTTAACAAAGAAAAATAGTCCTTACAAAAAATGAAAAATACCGCCAAAAACAATAAAAATACACAAGAATAAAATATGTACTTACATGATTATAAAAATTCCACAAACACAAAAATAAAAATCACAAAATATCACAGTTCAGAGTTCCAAATGTATAAATTCCTCCGCGTCCTAGATATTGCACTTCCAGCTGATGTCTATTTACAAATAAAAGTCAATGTATATATGTACATGTATCTCTGTCGTTGTGGCGCGAAAGAGCTCTATGAAAAAAATGATGGGTCGGGGGAATGGGGGTGGGAGGTATACCTATGAGATGAAAGAATGACGATCTCTTCTACTGCTGGGCTGACAGCCGCGGATAGGGAAGTATCCAGCTGCTTGGCCTGGTCTGTTCTGCCACGGTCAGCGCTGCTCTCCCCCTCTGCCAGAAACAGCTCGCCTGGTTTGCTTCCTGTCCTTTGTCGGGGAGCCAATTTGTATAGTGGTGAGTATCCCCGCCTGTCACGCGGGAGACCGGGGTTCAATTCCCCGTCGGGGAGCCAATTTGTAGTGGGGGGTTTCCAACAATAAACACCTTGATATGTTTATATATGTTTATTCAATAAAGAATAAAACCTGTAACAAATAATATAAGTATAAGACATCACATTACAACCAAATATAATACAAGACAAATACATTTCACAAAATACATAATACAGAATATTACACAACAATTCAAATTACAATAAAAACAATTTCACAAATAAATATATACAAATATACATACCAGGCTTTATATAGATGAGATCTAATGAAATAATAGAAATCAGAATCAAGTATTTCTATAAAGAAATTACTGAATGTTAAATACTTTTATAGCTCTTTACACTTCGAAAGCGAGACAAGGAGTGGTCAGTTACCAAGAAAATATTATATCCCAGAACCAAATCATCTAAAAATAACTTGCATACCAAAACAAATCATCCATCACTAAACTTGCAAAACCAGTTCAATCACTCATAACAAAAGGAATCAAGACAAACATGAACACATAACACCACAATAGATTTGGTTTGGCCTTTAAGGGAAATAACTACCGTATTTATTATAAAAAGTGAACTTGGCTAAATTTAACCTTATCTACAAAGATAATAAAATAGATTAATTTATGTGCATAAACATCTGCAGAAGCACGAAGAAGCAGTCAAAATAGTATGAATACACTGAACGAATACAATATTTCGGTCAAATTTAGCTGAAAAATTGAACATGTAAACAAATAATAAGAATTAACCATCTTTATGGGATTTTAAATGTGTTGTTGAGTTAAAAAGTAATATCAGTATAAACATATATTAAAATAAGTTACTGTTTGCTTTTGCTAACTGTATTTAGGACAAAAATAGTTGCTTATTTAAAAAAATGTCACTGTGTCGGGTCTGTATTTTAATTGTTTTTGCCAAAAACTAAGGCAAATAATAGCTCTTGAATAATAAATCTTACTTATTACCTCACAATTATTGTTCTATTTAAAGAAATAAAGATATCTAATTTCATTTTGCAGACATTCAGTGTAAAAGAAATGAGATAAGCGGACTATTTTCATGACAGTCTACAAATGAATATTTTATCAGTTGCTGTCTATGGTGGCTGATTTGTGTCATTCGTCATTTCGATCCGCGAAAAGTCGAGAATTAACAAGCTAAAGTGGCGGGGCGCGGAGCGAAAACACGCTGATTAGCGGGGGCGCGGGACTAGGTTTAAAATATAAAACTTCGCCCCGGGGGGGGGGGGGGGCGGAGCGAGATTTAAGAAATAAAACGGCGGGGCGCGGAGCCAAAAAACGCTAATTAGCGGAAGCTCGGGGCATAGTCTTTCGGGTTTCTTATATTTTCTGTAGTTAAGACGATAGACAGCCATGTTTATTACAAATCAATTGCGCCTTGTTCTCTCCGCACAGGGTCCTTCAAATTTCTATTTGAAAGACCCTGCTCCGCATGTTTTATTAATTTAATTTCACAAAATCACATTACTTAACAAGATTTATGTATATGGACATATTAACCTACATCTGAATAAATGTAAATATCAGTAATGACACGAATTACACCAAATGCTATAAAAACAGAAATAGCACTAGAGTTTGATCGAGACATCTAATAAAATCTTGTTTCTAAGTTTTGTGATAAAAACACTTATTGTATGATTTACGAGTCGAGTCAACTGTCACTTACTTAAGTGCGGAAAAGGTCGTAATCAAGTAAAGGTCGGGCGAAAAGAAAGTTGGCGATTACGACGCACACATGCAGATTCTTAATTTTTAATCAGTGTCGGTAAAGTGTGGTTGATAGTGCTTGAATCAAATGTGTATTCTTTATAAACATTCAGAGAGTTATTTTTTGGCTTTTGTTTTGGATTAGTTGTTCCGGTTAGGTGGTTTCCTGCTTACATTAGTTAGTGCATGATTGAACGGGAAACCAGCTGCAATCATGCCAATCGCAACTTTTCGGCCCTTTCCGTCACTCTTCGGATTAATGATAACAGCCGAGGTAGTTCCGATTGCAATCGTGACGATTCGGGCGATTCCGTCATACTGCGGAATCAGACGAAGAAATATTACGGAAATCTAAGCTATTTTAGTTACTTCGGTAATCCCAGTTTGTTTATATAAATAGGATTTCTATTTTTACTTGATTCCGTTTCAATTCTTTTTCAAGACACAAAAGTTAGTTTCTTTTATCATTGGTTTTTGTCTTTATTAGTTTTATACAATAGAGAATGGTTACTGTAGTAGTATTCCGTCTCCAAAGGGCGGTCCTGCTTACCAAAAGATCGTGACCGAATCACGCAGAATATTAGTGCATGATCAAGTTATATTTAGATCTACTGACAGAGTTTAAACGTCTTGGTGAGGTAATCTAAAAATAGCCCATGCATATCATTAACCTTACCACGTGCTGATCTCCTGTGTTGTCGATCATAGATATTTTAGGTGTAACATAGTTGATACATGCTTATTAATTGGTACCACGTCACGAAGTCTTTTAGTGCATTTACTTGTCTCTAAAGCTGCTATATAAATGAAATTAGCAACTGCCAAAACGAATGACTCTCTCTGCGAAAAAAGTGGAAATGAAATGTTCACACTTATTTCCCTTCGGTATGATAGATTGATCTCCACGTGAGAGCCAATGTTAGTATTTTTACGATTGATTATTTTCTTTATTAGTTTTATACAATAGAGAATAGATTTCGAATCGTTTTTGACAAAAAAATATTCGTTTTTACAAAAAAAGTTGCTACTGTTATCGTCAGCATGTTCCCGTTCAGTTATAATCAGTGGACTTCTGGTCCCTATTTGGTCCAAATTTGCACGCATAACACTGGTGCTCAAACAAATGGGCACAGGTGCTCGTCCAGTCTTGGGCTTACCCTACCTATCCCTTTAAAAGTGAAACTTTTTTTTTCGAGAAAAAAACTAAATAAACCCTTTATGATATACAAATGCCGTAATTCAAAAAAATTGTTATAATAAATTGAAACAAAAAAAAATTGTAAAGGGAAGGGATGATGGCACAACTGAGCAAGCCTTTCCTTTTAAAAGGAAACTTTATTGGCTTGCAGCCACGGCTGCAAGCCATTTGTTTTGGATTAGTTGTACTGGTTAGGTGGTTTCCTGCTTACATTTGTTAGTGCATGATGGAACGGGAAACCAGCCTAGGTTTCCGCTGCAATCGTGACAATGCGGGCGATTCCGTCATACTGCGGAATCAGACGAAGTAATATTACGGAAATCTAAGCTATTTTTAGTAACTTCGGTAATCCGAGTTTGTTTTTATAAATAGGATTTCTATTTTTACTTGATTTATCGGTTTAAAGCGTAAGTAGAAGGAAGAAATAAATTATTAATGAAAATGTTCCGTTTCAATTCTTTTTCAAGACGCAAAAGTTAGTTTCTTTTATGATTTATTTTTGTCTTTATTAGTTTTATACAATAGAGAATGGCTACTGTAAAAGTTTTTCGTCTCCAAAGGACGGTCCTACTTACCAAAAGATTGTGACCGAATCACACAGAGAATTAGTGCGAACAAGTTAAAATTGCATAGCTCTATCACATTTGTTTGCGATCGAGTTATATTTAGATCTACTGTGTCTTATATTTAAACGCAATTCTAACATGGAGTTAAAACTACAGTATAACGTCTTGGTGATCGGTAATCTAAAAATAGCTCATGCATATCATTAACCTTACCACGTGCTGATCTACAGATAGCGCATCCTGTGTTGTCGGTACATAAATATTTTAGGTGTAACATAGTTGATACATACATATTAATTGGTACCGCGTAACGAAGTCTTTTAGTGCATTTACTTGTCATAAAGCTGCTATTTAAATGAAATTAGCAACTGCCAAAACAAATGACTCTTTCTGCTAAAATAAGTGGAAATGAAATGTGCACACTTGTTTCCCTTCAGTATGATTGATAGATACTTTTATTTCCTCCACGTGGGAGAGCCAATGTTAGTATTTTTACGATTGATTATTTTCTTTATTAGTTTTACACAAAAGAGAATAGATTTCAAATCGTTTTTGACAACAAAAATAATCGTTTTTACAAACAAAAGTTGTTACTGTTATCGTCAGCATGTTCCGGTTCAGATATAATCAGTGGACTTCTGGGCCTTCTTTTGTCCAAATTTGCATGATCATGCATAACACTGGTGACACAAATGGGCACAGGTGCTCGTCCAGTCTTGGGGTTACCCTACCTACCCCTTTAAAAATGAAACTATTTTTTTTCTCGAGAAAAACAACAAAACTAAATATGATACTTTATGATATACAAATAATTTAAAAAATAGTGATAATTAATCGACCCTCTATACCTGTAAAAACATAGGTACCTTGTTTTTTTACTGTTATATAAGGTCATTTTATTTTTTTTTTTTATAATTATTTCTTTATTATAAAGAGTTGATTAAGGAGTTGTTTTTTTTGTTTGTTTTTTTTAATTTTTTAAATCATTTTTAAAGGGATGGGATGATGGTACAACTGGGAAAGCCTTTCCTTTTAAAAGGAAACTTTATAACCTATTAAGTATAGCTTAGGAGAAAACAGCGGAAACCATGACATAATACATTTTGTTAAGTATTAAATTATTCGAACATATTTATTGTCATTATTGAAACGAGTTGAAATAATATCTTTTTAGGATTCTTGCTTTTTGTGTCACCAATTACATATTTAAAAAGAGTGTTTCAATTTGAAACCTAAGTAGCCATTATTGTGTGTCCACGTCCTAAGCCTTACAACTGTTATGTAACACAGAGACATTAATGCAATTTTAATAGATTTTTCATGTTTGATCTTCGTTACCTCCCGGAAAATTTCCTGGAAAACAATATTGATTATACGCAGTAGATTATTGAAAATAGCGCGTTATGAACTGGGAAGAGCTGATTTTGTTGTCACTGGGCACAAATTATAAAAATAGATTTCAAAATTATTTCATAAGTCAAATTCTTTAAATTCAATAGATCTATTGACGCATAAATTCTTTAAGTGTATATATACAGATATACAGAGAAAAGACAGGGTAATATCAAAATACATTCTCTTCAAAAACACACCGGTGTAAAACTTTGCAAAACTGTTTCAATTTAAATTATAAAATGGACTTTATCTCTTTAACATTTTATAAAGGAAGATTCCCGCGATTTGACAATGCATCTGAAAAGTACAAACAGCTACTTAATAGATATAGCAATTTACTCCACGAAAGAAGAGATGTGCAAGAAAAGAAATGTGCAACGGTAATTTTGTGTAAGCGGACAGGTCATGATAAATTTCCTGCTGAAATTAATGATTTAATTTCAGGATCATCTAACTTTTCAAGTGTTCATGAAGAAAGAAGATTCAATTCAAGCAATATTGATATCTTTTTAAAAAGTGTCGAAGAAAGTATCGGGTCTGCTTGTGTGTTTATTGTTAACAGTAATGATAAAAATGAGTTTATGCGTCTGAGGCAAAATAAAAATCATATTATATTGTTGGCAAAAAATGAAGATGAGAAAAAAGAAGTTGAAGGAAATTGTCGAGGTAAAATCCATATAGCGGTTTCCACAAAAGAAAAGCTGACAAGCGATATCGATGATATTTTAGAACGAATAACATTGGCGCCATTGAAGCCAATCTGTGAACACTGTTACGAAATGTTCAAACAAAAAATCTCAATCAATGCAACAGAAACGACTGTACACAAAATTGATTTTGAAAGGAAGGAATCAACAATAAGGAAGATAACGAAACAAGCAATACAAAGAAACGGTCACCCACCTGACAAATTATCAGAACTAAACCAGCTCAAGTGTAAAATCAGAGAAACACATAGAATCTCACCTTCGTGCACAAATGATAAAACCACCAACTGCAGCAATGGTTCAACAATATTTGCTACGACTTGTACACGTGCTAAGACAAAAGTAGATATAACTAGCGGCACAAACTCTAGGGAGGCAATTCAGAAGGATTCAACTTCTACATCAATAAGTACACAACCACATATCATACCTGGTATAAAAATGAACGGCTTCAGTCATTCTGACGGTTTGAACAGTTGTTCAGAATCTGAAGAAGCTACACGATCTACTTTTAGAAATTCAAATACAAGACAATCTCGTAAAAGATCAATAGAACTTTCTGAAACTATCTCTAAAAAAGGTAAACCGCACTAATGTTGTTGTTACAATTTTACTACGATAGTTTTATTGATTTTAACAATGGCTATTATATTTACACGGTGACGTGCACATATCTACTTTACATTGGTAAAAGTGACATTATGCTCATTTTTTCATTATCAAATTGACTTTAATTGACTACATATTTCAATAAACTGGTTGTTATAATGGTGATTGACCAACACATGATATTTGAAAATGTTTTTAAAGATGTCCTCAAAATGTACTCTTACGAACAACAAAAAAAAACTTCAATAGTTAAGAAAAGTATGATGAAGCGGAAGACATTTTTCTTTACCGTATGCAAGAGTACGTGTGTATTTTGAAAGATTAATGACACGTCTTTTCTTTTTACTTCTCAAATTATAAAAATTCAGACAATCGTTAATTTTTTTGTAGATAAAAAGAGGAAAGTACAAGACTTGGAGCAGACAAAATCAAAAGGTAACCAAACTCAAGAAGAAAATCCGGAGTATCTCTTAGAAGCGATTCTAGCCGTATACGGAATGAGCAATGTTCCCGAATTGGAGAGACCTAAAGTTCCAATACATAGCAAAAAGATTGATGAACAGGTAATCTTTTGATTTTTTTTTATTTCAGATAAAAGATACATTCATGTTATGTTTAATGTTTAACATGATTTATACATGGTGTTAATACAGGGAATATTTAATTTACATAGCTAATCTTCTTAATGTGCCGTTTATTACATTTTACTCGTAAAGTGTCGTATCCATATGTTTATAGGATGTTTAACTTATCATTTTAGATGAAAGATGATTTATTCAAAATTTGTCCAACAATCAAAAGAATGGGATATCGCTATCGAACGTTTTACATATATGCGGTTAAACCAGTAAGGTTGGAGGACGAAGCAATCCGTGATAATAAAATCCGGTCTGTACTTAGAAAGTATGACATTTTCCCCTACGAAATATCAGCTTGTAATGAGAAAATAGAAAGAATGATGCACACAGGAGCGAAGATTGAAGCAAGATTTGAACCACGTTATTCTTTGAGATCACAGACAAAAAACACGCAGCTTGTAAAAGGCGGTACACTAGGCTGCTTTGTCAAAGCAGCTGGTGGAAACAAAAAATATTGTCTCCTTTCAAAACATGTTACCGAACATTGCAGCAAAGTATATTATGTTGAGAACGGTAACAACAAAATTCTCGGTCCCATGATACCAAGGACAAACGGTCGTTTTCATGGGGGTTTAGATATTTCAGCAGCTACTATGAATGAGCCAGTCAATGAAGAAGCCATTAAATTTAAAGATAGACAAGGGCAAAAATTAAAAGGTTTTTTACATGACTACAATGAAGAAGAGGAGGATGGTATATGTAGAAGTGGACAGTCAGTGCATATTAATGGAGCAGTGTCGAAACCTGGTGTAGGTGAAATTACAATGCCTATTGTGCATGATTATGGTTTGAGGAGCCCACTGATTCAAGTCGAAGACATTACAACTAATCCTGGAGGTGCAGGAAACTTTGCAAACGAAGGCGACAGTGGGGCTGTTATGTGTGTAGAAGATCCTGAAAAAAGACATGTTATTGCACTGGGTATGGTAATGGGAAGAATTGATCATAATTCTTCGGGGCGCAAATATTTAGCTTTGCCTTTATCAAAAGGAGTTCAGCAGATTGAAGCGCAAACCAGGACCCGTTTAGAGCTTATGTAGCTGATTACAACCATATTCTTGACGATTCGTGTATTTTTCAGCTAGGTCTGCTACTATGACGGCTAGAAAGACATACAGTCGACCGAAGGTTCGAATCACTCAAACACTTATAGATTGAAGTGATGTGGGTGGACTTTTCACACTAAAGAGGATTTATATATATATATACACTTTATAGAGAATCCATGTCATAACAAAATGCATTAATGATTAATGTATTTTCCTCTGAATTTACAGGATAATAACCATGCATCATATATGAATTAAATGCATCAATGTGAATTCATACGTAAAGTACATGTAAGTGACAGAACAAAGAGAGTGACACTTGTAAAGCAAGGAAATGTACTGCAAGGAAAAACTTATAATATACCTCTGCCTGATGTAAATTATGTCCTTACAGATATTGATGTCAAAGTTTAGACAAATAACCACACAAAGATGCAGTTAGAAAATATCCTTCAGAAATGGAATTTAATGATTCGTGTCTTTATCAATATATATACATGTAGTCAAAGGTACAAAAATTTTGTTCATTTAATTAAATAATGCGCATGTTTCGAAGTATAGTGGTATTAGTTAATTTGATAATATTTAATAAAACATGCGTAGAGCAATCGAGCAATTTAGAAGGCATAATTGATACCTGATCAATATGGCTGTGTACATTATGTACGTATGTATCATTTTGTATCAACATTACTGTATAAAAAAGCAAGAAATCAATAAAGGCGAAAGGCATGTACTATTTTATCCATAAATACTTTATCAATTGTTGATGATAAAAATCTCATCAACTTGTTAATTACATGTGCAAATCTTCATTGTTTTCTTTTTGATTTTAATTTTAATCACAATATTCATATCACTTTCCTGGCAACTGTTACAGTATCCGCATGCAGTAACTGTTCATTTTTAAGCAATTGTTTTACATTTTTGTACTTAAAATAAATCGAGTTTTTTTACTAAGAAGAACTTCATTAGTATTATGTGTTGGGTGCAACACCATATAATGAGTAGGCTAGTATGTATTAATATCGTATAAATGACTTACTAAATTGCTTAGATTAAATAAGCTATCTAGTTGTAACAATACCAATGAAGGCACTTGTATTCAGACTAAAAGAACTAGCTCAAATCCTTCAGAAAATATTTAGATGGCTAAGGTAAGGCAATCCAGTAAGGCCCTACATAAAACGTTTGCATGTTTGCCTGCATGAACATATTAAATATACGATGAACAATGATGAGTAACAAAATAATTCATTCAGACGGATTTGGAAGTCATTACTTTAAAACGCAATATTCATTTGTAAATTTATTGTAATAATTTTATTTGAAAGTTGATTTGTTATGTTTATATTACAATTAAAAGCTATGTATATCTTAAACTAGTTTCGTTGTTATTTGATATCAGACAACAAAAAATAAGATTAAAGTGAAAGAGTAAATGGTGACCGTAAATTACTTTACATTTTGTCATATTTGTTTTTAACCTAATAAAAACACGTCACGTCACGAGTAATCAGTAACCGTGACCCACTCAAATATCAAAACATATCAATCAGAAATATAGGTTATGTTCAATTTATGTATAAAAAGAGTGGGGCAGGTTTTTTTTAATTTATATTTTAGGCAGTTACATTAATTACATATTATCCTAACCAATTGTTATTATCAGTTATTGTTCAATCGCCATTAAAATAGACATACACATATACAACGAATTTATCTCAGCTTTGAAAAAATGAGCAAAATGTCACTTTAAAATCTAATCGTACGTTAGATCGTTTTCATTTGATATATTGATATTCCTTTTTAGTATTCACTTCCGCTTATTTCATTCTCGAGACCAAGTGTCTGCGAAAATATCAGATATCAACCTTTCTTTAGGAACAAGTATTTAACTTAATCTATAGAAATAAGACACCTACAGAGTAATAAATAAATGTTATCATTCAAGAGCTTTAATATGTTTTAATAATATTTATAATTAAAAAGCGGACCATTTTCTCCAAACACACTTAAAGCAGCACGCCTCCAGATTCATGTTTATTTTCATAAAATATTTTGGAAATGTACTTAAAAGTAAAATAATGTGAGGTTAACAAATAATGTAATGTGCATATTGCAATCGGCACTTACAATCAACAAAAATTACCAAAATGTATTCAGCATATGAAAACACAGCCCTTACTGTGTTACTAACGCAGTAGAAATATGGTGATAAAAGACTGCAAAATCAGTCTTAAACCTACATAACATGCAAAATATAGCTTGAATCTTGAATGTTTTAACCTTTCTTAAAAGTTTAGTGCACTGTTCTCAATATTCGTTTTCTTGAAATATTTCGGCTCATCTGGAGGCGTGCAGCTTTAAAGTCGACACATTCATTATTTTTCCTACGCATTTTTATTATGTATTTTTGTCACGTGTTCAGTTAGCGAAAAGCAAACAACAACTTACTTTAATATAGGTTTATACCGTTATGATTATTTATTTTTTAACCTGTCAATTGCATACATATAATATTGTCAATGCACACAAAATATTAATCTTCAAGTTCCGTGAGATGTACGCAGTAAGATTTGATTTAAATCAATTTGTGTCATAGAGGATATTTGTTCAGTGTAAGACAAAAGGTTTATTTCACCAGCGCCACTCGTGAAATATAAACTTTTGGTGGTCACGAGGTGAAATATATTTTGATCACACACTAAACGTTTTAAAAGACATTTAAACCTTATACTAAATGAAAAGTGCACCAAAATAATTATTGTATAACGCGACGTCATTTACGACGTCACGTCATTAAGTTGGTTTTCAGTACTGTGCACGCTGATATTTCACTGAAACAACGTAACGGGCTTAAATTCAAAACATTAAAAAAATATCAAATTGATAATTTAACTGTTTTAAACAGTGAATTATCAGTTTTTTTATTTCACTGATATATTTCTATTAACCAACGAAAAGCATGTAATAAAATGAAATAATTACTCGCAATGGCATAAACCTCTAATTGCCCTACGTATTTTAAGATCGAAGCGGCTTAGGTCCATGTTTTTTTTCTTATTTATATTTAACTATGACTATTTTGTATTTTGTATTTTGCTGTTCGTTTTGTTTTAAAATGTTTCGCACTTATTTTGGTAAAGTCTATTTTTTAAATAACATGGTTTAATTAAAATTGATATTTAAAATGTATTCGGATTAAATCAATAAATGTCATTTCAGTGCCGTAAAGCACTAAACAAAACGAGACAAAATATTGTTTCTAAGATGCCTCATGCCCATGTAGACAATTGCATCCGGCAATTTCCATTAAATGTACTGCAAAAATAAAGAGTAGGTATAAAACAATAGCAACTGTAGTGATGGAACATATCAGGCAATCACTCAACCGGCTGTACTAGTGCGGATGTGATGACAACATATAGATTAAGCTGGTGTGACTTTTAAAAACATTAGATGTATACTCCATATTGATTCTAGTAAAAGACAGGGACATAATCGAAGTGGGTCCGACTAATTAAATGAGAGCTGTAGTGTTTTCATAAATAAGAGGTCAATAAAATCAGACTATATGCACGTACACTTGGATCATAGACCCCCGCCTTTTTCGCCCCTGAATATTAAAACCAACACATTTTGCAAGTGCTTGTCCTATTAACTTTAAATATAAGAGTGACATGGTCTACTGTCCAACGCGTAAACAAGTTTAAACAAAATTACGTTTTATTTTAATACATGAAAGACAGTCAGAATAAACAAACGTTTGGTTTAGTATTATATAAGTAATTGTAAAATTTATAAAGCTGCCTTCTGTAATGAGCAACCTCTTTATGTCGTCCAAAGGTAGGAATTCAAAAAAAACTTTAAACCTCACTTTAGAATTACTTATCATTTAATCATATTCGAAATAAATTCCTAAAACCTGCAGTGTTTTTAACTTTATTACATTAACACAAAATTATCAAACACAACAGAACTACAGCTATGATGACAGTACAATCAAGATACAATTATGACGTCACAAACAAACGTCATTATCAGATAACTAAAAAAATGTCTATCAAGTCGGCTTGTTATGGCCGCTCAAGTCAAGGAAGGGTGCTCCAATGAGGATCCGACCAAGACCTATTTAAATAAGCCGGAAAGCGACCAGGCGCAGCAAGTAATTAACCACTATGGTAAACTTAACTTAGTAGCCAGCGTATTTTCCTGTTGCTGACATCATTAACAAAAACTTGAATCATCTCAGAGTCCAACTGGTCACTCGATTACAAATCCCCCGCCCATGAAAAGCATCCGGAAGGGTGAGCGTTTATACTCTCCGACCAAGAAACTCTCCGTGGGAGCAAAGATCCGCAACCGAATAATCAGCCTTAAAATCGGATCCAGTAAGATGACTAACTAATGCCCACTTACAAACTAGGTCTTACCAGAACACAAAGGGTGAGACCTAGAGACCCGAACCTATGCCGAGTCTACTATAACATATCAAGGCCATCAACATAACACAGTATACCAACATTCTACCACAGGGACTAAGCACAGTAACACTATATCTGAAAGATGTGAATATTTAGAGGGCTGTCAAGAACAAAAAAAGGTTTGGCAATAAAAATGTACATTACTTGTGAATGAAAAATACGCCTGTGACCGCCAGTTCGAGCGACTTAGAATATTAAGATCACTTTGAATTCAGATAATAACCACACATAACCGAGTGACTAAATATACATTATTCGACTAAGTAAAGTTTACGCCATTGTCACACGAATGTCATTACACACTGTTTTAATATTTGCACAAGATGATTCAGTATACATGTATTATGGTGTCCAATTGTTCACAATCATTATTCTTGTACGTTAACACTTCAACTTGAAAATCACGTGGTTCGTGGTCTTGAACTAGTTAGTCAAACTCAATGGGAGACTCAAGTTTTCTTCAATATTTCTGCAATATATACTAAAGAAAGCAAGTCTGGCACTGTACATAACATAAAAACATATGACACAAACAACAGTTATATGTACAATAAACCAGTAGAGAAACCATACATATTCATTGTTTACCCATTACGCGATATACACGCATTTTAACGCCTTTTTCACCCCCCCCCCCCCTTTTTTGTTGTCTCAAATGGGTAAAAAATGCCTAATTTAGGTCCCAACGCATGTTTTTGTTTGAGAAATGTTGTTTTATAAAGGTGGCAACTTTTTCGGAGCGGCCCCCAACCAAAAGATATATCAGGGGGTTGCCAGAAGGGGGATGTGCCCCCTTCTATTTGGGGGGGTTGAAGGGAGCGGCATTCCCCCTCATTGCAATAAAAATTTTGGACTTGTGAGAGGCTAAAAATGACCCCAGACCGATCATAAGGTAACGTGTAACCAACGCTGAAAAGCATTTGACTCTATCTCAATTCATTGAGAAGTTGCAGCACTTTGAAATCCATTTTGATTGAAAAAATCAACGCAAAATAGTGATTTTTGGCAATTTTGAGATGTCCCCTCGTTGCCAGGGTAACAGGAATTTTAAGACTGAGCATGTTGTTGCAAAGGCAATGGTCCAGTCAACATTTGTGCCAAGTTTGATTGGTAATAAAGCAGTTTTTATAGTTTTATAGCAATTTGAACTTGTAACGGAAGACTTTTCAATGATAACAGCCATTTTTCACAGTAATGGGTTAACTGAAGTACCAAATTAAATGCTATAACATCAAGGCATGAAACATGAACAATGTAAGACTTGCAATGGGGGTGTGGCGGAGGGTGGGCAATTTAAGTACTACTGACTGTTAGTTACGACGGTAAATCGACAATACGAAGAAGTGTGCACGATATCTCGTATTTATATTCGGATCTACTCCGAGTGTGTTCCGCTTGAGTGTAAACATTTCCTCTAATGGTAAATGTAACGATTTCTCAGTATAAATATAAAAAAATATTTTGAAGAAAGAATAATTTGTATTATCAGTCATTGTTCAATCGCCATTAAAACAGTCAATCTTTTGACATATGCAACGAATTTTTCTCAGTTTCACAGTGAAATAAATTAACATATTGTCACTTTAACATCTAATCGTTCCGTAAGCTAGAACAAATATTGAACTTTATCAATAGAAATAAGACACCTACAGAGTAATTCATCAATTATTCAAGAGGTATAAAATGTTTTAATAATATCTATTAAAAGCGGACCATTCCCTCAACAATGTCATTCTTTTTCCTACGCACTATTTTTTTCCTATTTTTGTCACATGTACAGTAAAACAACTTACTTTAATTAATATCAGTTTATACCGTTATTATTGTTTCATTTTATTAACCTGTCATTTGCATGCGTATAATCCTGTCAATACACACAATAATGTGTGAAGTGG